TATGGAAAAACGGTTCCAAACATGATGTTTCTTGGAGCACCATTTTTTCCAACGTGGCACTGATGTGTCACCGTTTTCTGGAGCAACGACATCGATGCCAAACAGACGCATTATCAATATCTCACTATGTGATCAAATCTAGTAGGCACAACATAGGAAGCACATTCTATGAGTACTTTATAAATATTTTGACCACTGTTAAATGTTGTCTTTAATCGTTGGGGGTATTAGAAATGACAGGTGCCAAAAATATTTTGGGTAAAATATAAAAATCTCTCCTAAAGTTTCTAACAATCATAAAATCCTCCCCTATAGTTTCACCGTAACAAATATCTCCCATGAACTATTGAGAAACTCAAACAAAAACCTCCTTTCCATCATTGACCCAGACGGAAAATGTATGTATTTGCGAAGTTACCCTTGATGCATCATTTAAAAAATCATAAAATAGCATAATTGCCCAATTGCCCTCAATCGAGTTTCTCAATAATGTTGAATTTCTCAAACTCCGTTGCTTAAAAAATCATAAAACGCCTCGATCCTTTGATACCAATCCAACATACCAAAACAATTTATGTGGCCCAACCATGAGAAACCTAGTGCCGACGCACTAGAACTCTAGGTTTCATTCATCAATTTAGGTGGGTCCCTTTCCAAGGACCCAACTGCAGCCTGGGAAGCGTCGAGGCTTGTGGGGGAGGAACGTAAGAAACATGGCTTCTTTCTTCTTGTGAATCACGGAGCGAAAGCTCGACTCATAGTTGATGCTCATCGCTACATGGTTTTGTTCTTCAACATGCCGCTCTATGAAAAGCATTGGGCTCAGAGGAAGCCCAGTGAGAGCTGTGGATGTTGGATTTTAATCTCATAAGAGATTAAATCCAATGGGTTTGATTGGTCAATTACATGAGAAATTGCACCTACACACTTGATTTAAAAATCTGTTTTTCTCTTAAAAAAAACCTGGTTTTGAACTTGTCCCACATTGGATAATTATAAGGTTTGTTTTCAGTATTTCAATAGGAGTTGATTTACACTCCTTAGAATTAGTAGAGGAGAGTATGGGGATTCGA